TCTTCATGCATAGCGTTTATCCAATCTGGATCTTCCAATGCTTCTTCAACCTTCATGGGTTCAATGCTAGAGATGAATGAATAGTTTTCACAAAAGTTAGCTAAACGAGTTTTTGAGCGAGTGATTCTCCCGGTTTGTATATCATTGAGGATTTGCTCGACGGGATGATCTTTGGCAATTCTTGCTCGAACTCGTGAGAGCTTTTGCTTGGGTCTTCGTTGAACATCTTCTTCATCTTGTTCTTCTTCTTGGCCTTCTTCATTGTTGACGTCGTCGTTCTCTTGTCGTGGTGGAGAAGGAGGTTGTTGATGTTCGTCTTGACGTATTTCCTCGTTTTCTTCATCTTGGTGTGTCCCATTTGTGGATGCTTCCGTGTCGATTCTTGGTTCACCTTGTCGTGAAGTAGAAGCTTCCACTTGGACGGATGAAGTACTCTCCTTCACCTCCGTTAGACGAATTTTGCCAATGGACAAGTCTTGAATTGCTTCTGAAGGGTCTTTGTCTCCTACATTAATTGGCAATTGCTCTACTTGCGAGCCATTAGCTTCATCAAACTTCACATCTACCGTCTCTTCAACTTTTCGGGTGAAATTGTTGTAGACACGGTAAGTGTGAGAGTTTGAGCCATAACCAAGTAGAAAACCTTCATGAGATTTAGGAGCGAACTTTGAACGACGATGCTTATCAAGAATGTAGCACTTTGAGCCGAATACTTGAAAGTATCCAACTTGGGTTTTGTTACCGGTGAGAAGCTCGTATGCCGTCTTGCCGAGTAGCTTGTGAAGGTATAAGCGATTTGTTGCGTGACAAGCTGCCTCAACCGCTTCTGCCCAAAAGTGCTTTGGCGTCTTGTATTCATCAAGCATCGTTCTTGCCATTTCGATGAGCGTCCGGTTCTTCCTCTCAACAACTCCATTTTGTTGAGGTGTATACGTAGCCGAGAACTCGTGTGAAATCCCTTCTTCGTCAAGAAAGGTGTCCACATTTGCGTTCTTGAACTCCGTTCTGTTGTCACTCCAAACCTTCTTGATCTTCACATCAAACTGATTTTGGGCCTTCCTAGCGAAGTTTCTGAAGATCTTCTGGACCTGCGACTTGTCATTAAGAAAGAACACCCACGTAAATCTTGAAAAATCATCAACTATAACTAGACCAAAAGAATTTCCACCGAGACTCTTGTAGGCATTGGGACCAAAAAGATCCATGTGAAGTAGCTCTAGTGGCCTCCTTGTGGTCATGATGTTCTTCACGGGATGTCTTCCTCCAACCTGTTTACCTGCTTGACAAGCACTGCAAAGTCTATCCTTATCAAATATGACATCATTAACTCCAAGGATATGATTTCCTTTAATAAGCTTGTCAAGGTTTCTCCTGCCAACGTGACCTAGTCGTCTATGCCACAACCAACCTTTTGAGGATTTAGCAACAAAGCAAGTTTTAGGTTGTGCCTTTTTAGAGAAATCGACAATGTAAAGATCTCCTCTACGCATACCCGTAAAGACCATTTTATGATTGTCTCGACAAAATACTTGGCAATCTACCTCAGTAAATAGGACATTCAAACCGAAATCAGCAAGTCTAGATACTGAAAGTAAGTTGTAGCCCAGAGATTCAACGAGCATGACATTTTGAATGGAACTATCATGTGAGATGGCCACCTTACCAAGGCCAACCACTTTACTCTTTGAATTATCACCAAAGGTGACATATTTTCGAGGGCCGTCATTTTCAGCAAGCTCACGAAACATCTCTTCATCTCCGGTCATATGATCAGTACATCCACTATCAAGAACTCATTCCTTTCCTCCTGATTCATATCCCCGAAGATTTGCCATAAGACCAAAATGTCTCATTGCATCATCAAGATCATTGTCACTGTCATCATCATCATAATATTCATGTTCATCATGATCTTGTGATTCATCATTTCCTAAAGAGGGTAATTCATCAGATAAATGATCATCAAAGTGGTCACTTTTATGAATTCTTATAACTTTGAGTATGATATCATTAATGATTCCAACATCTCCTTTAGCATGCTTAAGATTGGCAAGTTCAAGAAGACATTTACCAAAACTAGGATCACTAGAGTTCATCTTACTCAAGGCAATAGATTTATGGAGAATTTCATCCAAAGTTTTCAAGGAATGATTGGGAAATCGTTCCTCAAGAAATTTCCATATAGTATAGGCACAATTTTGAGTAGGCAAACTGGCAATCAAATTTTTGGGCAATCCTCTAATGATGAGCTCAATAGTTCTAAGATTGTGAATCATGTCAATATCTTCATCTAGGGTAGGATGCAAGGGATCAATATGGGGTGCACAAGGGCTAGCAATATACTTGTTCAAATGATATTGATTGAAGATTACAAGCATCTCATTTTTCCACTCATGAAAGTACTCTCCATCAAGAATAGGCACTCTATGTCTAAGACTCCCTAGAGTAGACACATCCATCTTCCTCCAATGGTGATTAAACCAAGGCAATGGAGACCAAAGCTCTGATACCACTTGTAGGATCAAGAAGTAGATGTGTCTAGAGGGGGGTGATTAGACACTTAATGCTAAAGTTGCGATTTTTAGGCTTTTTGGTTTAAGTGGAGTTTAGGCACAATTTCAACACACACAATACATATCAAGCAAGCATGCAAAGAGTATATGAGCAGCGGAATGTAAAGCATGCAACTTGCAAGAATGTAAAGGGAAGGGTTTGGAGAGATCAAACGCAATTCGAGACACGGATGTTTTTCCCGTGGTTTGGATAGGTGGTGCTATCCTACATCCACGTTGATGGAGACTTTAACCCACGAAGGGTAACGGTTGCGCGAGTCCACACAGGGCTCCACCCACGAAGGGTCCACGAAGAAGCAACCACCCACAAAGGGTCCACGAAGAAGCAACCTTGTTTATCCCACCATGGCCATCGCCCACACAGGACTTGCCTCACTAGCGGTAGATCTTCACGAAGTAGGCGATCTCCTTGCCCTTACAAACTCCTTGGTTCAACTCCACAATCTTGTCGGAGGCTCCCAAGTGACACCTAGCCAATCTAGGAGACACCACTCTCCAAGAAGTAACAAATGGTGTGTAGGTAATGAACTCCTTGCTTTTGTGCTTCAAATGATAGTCTCCCCAACACTCAACTATCTCTCATAGGATTTGGATTTGGTGGAAAGAAGATTTGAGTGGAAAGCAACTTGGGAAAGGCTAGAGATCAAGATTCATATGGTAGGAATGGAATATCTTGGTCTCAACACATGAGTAGGTGGTTCTCTCTCAGAACATATGAGTTGGAATGGTGTATGCGTTCTAATGGCTCTCTCTTCTAATGAGAAGAAGGTGGAGGGGTATATATAGCCTCCACACAAAATCCAACCGTTACACAGTTTTCCAATCTCGGTGGGACCGAATCAATAAACTCGGTCGGACCGAAAATGTAAACCTAGTGACCGTTAGAGATTTCGGTGGGACCGACTGGATCAACTCGGTGGGACCGATGTGCTGGGGTTAGGGTAAATCCAAAACTCGGTTTGACCGATTACTCAAACTCGGTTTGACCGATTACTCAAACTCGATGGGACCGATTTGGGTAATACGTGAAACTGAGATTTGGCCAAGCAAACTCGGTGGAACCGATTGCATATCTCGGTGGGACCGAGAATATTGCAATGGGTAACAGAGAGTTTGCAAGCCCATCTCGGTGAGACCGAGATCCCATCGGTGAGACCGAAATGATTAGGGTTTGGCAGTGGCTTATGACAAGTGGAACTCGGTGGCTCCGGATAGGAAGAATCGGTAGGACCGAGTTTGGCTTAGGGTTTAGGTCATATGTGGAAGTGGGAAAGTAGCTGAGGGTTTTGGAGCATATCACTAAGCACATGAAGCAAGAGGCTCATTAAGCAACACCTCATCCCTCCTTAATAGTATTGGCTTTTCCTAAAGACTCAATGTGATCTTGGATCACTAAAATGTAAAATGAGGAGTCTTGAGCTTGAAGCTTTAGCCAATCCTTTGTCCTTAGCATCTTGAAGGAGTTCCCACGACCTTTAGTCCATGCCACTCCATTGTTGAACTTATCTGAAACATGCTAGATTGAAATGTTAGTTCAACAAGAGATATGTTGTCATCAATTATCAAAACCACCTAGGGAGCACTTGTGCTTTCATACAGTATAATGATGATCAAAAGGGAGTATTTTCTCCTGTAGTCCGGTTGTATCTAAGGACTAGCATGATTTCTACAGCTTCACAAACCTCACGATTCTGGGTATGTTTCATGCCTATCACATCTGTCTAGCACATTTTGTATGTTCACCCTTGACAACTGACATACACAATGAACAACAAATATTGTGAGGAGACGGTCAGGGAATCATATGACTCAGGTAGGGAACATATTCAACAAAAGGAAGTTAAGACTTAGAAGCCGATTTATTCAACAAAGAACAACAAAGGTTGAGAACTAGATATTCTCAAACATTAAAAGATTGTGCCGTGAAAGAAATGCAAAACAAGAAAGTTTGCATCGTCAAAGAGGAAGACTGTGATAAAATAAACGTAAAACAAGAAAACTTTAAGAATCACATATGCATGTCCGAAAGTTCATTTATTCAGAGGTTATCATACTTACTTTCCAGAACTAGCAGTCTTCTGTTTTTCTCTCAATAAATGACCAACTCGAACACAAATACTAGTAGAAATAAATTAGTCAAGGGCCTAGTAGCAAATGCAACACATCAGTACTATTCCACAGAAAGTTTGCAGCAGATCAAAATCCAATCTTCCATAAAATTCATTAGCTCCAGAATTGTAACAATAGTTTTAAAGCATCTAAGTGTTTATATGGGAATAGCCGTTACTACTTACGATACAAAGGAATGATCTTCCAGTTTTAAAGCATCTAAGTAGTATCATTTTGCATCAACAGAGTAATTAATAATGATTAACTCATACCCACACACTTCCTTTCATTTCCTCGTATGACAAACAGCTGCAGACTTCAGTTAAAACCTTCGATTTCATGAGTCCCATCATCACCAACCAAAGAAGGAGGCCAGGCCATACTATACAGATGGGCACAACCGTCGAATTTCCCCGAGACAAGTAACTCAAGCACCAAGGTCTCCAAGGAAAGGGAGAAGAACCAGCAGTGGAGCGTGCCAGCAGGGGTCAAGCATGTCGTGGACAAGTAGATGTATCCAGACCTAACTTCCATAACCTTGAGGTCGCCATGCAAGTCGAGAGCGAACCCATGAGTGACCCGATCAATTTCTGCACTCAAATCGATTACAGTGTCCGGAACCCAAACCTCGATTCCATCACCGTCCACGCCACGGATCCAAACATGAAGGAAGAAATCCGATTCATAGACGATGCATAGTTGGCCATCCTTGGTGTCCCCGGCACTGAAACTGAATCCGTGCACCTTCACTTGAGAGGGTAGATCCACAGAGGAGACATCCATGGTGGCCGTGTTTATCCTAATCGTGCGGGGTTCACCGTCGACAGGCCAGTAAATGGAACCATTCGCCAGCGTACCAGCATTGAACTTCAGGCTGCGGTTACCGCCGACGTGCACCCACGGGTGGACGACCCAATCCCACGTCTCCGACGAGAAGACGGCGGCACGGATCCTTTGCGGGTCCGAGCAGACACAGACCACGCGGAACGACGACGGGTGCTCGTCGGAGCACAGCAGATGGAAACCAAGGAAGGAGAAATGGCGCCGACTCCCGGCCTGCACATCGTCGCCGGGCATCGGGATGATGTCGACGGCCCAGGTTAAGGGGTTCACGGCGGCGAGGGAGAGCATGTTCCATAGGAGGAGGTAGCCGTCGCGGCAGTCCATGAGGCTCCAGCCCTTGGATGGGTCGGCCTCGAGCGGGAGGGAGGTGAGGAAGAAGTCGCCGCCACGGAGGGCGGCGGTGACGTCGGGATCTGAGCGGCGGCGCAGCGGGGCGAAGGAGGGGTTGGCGCTGCCGTCGATTGGGATGAAGAGCCCGAGGAGCGGCGCCGGGTGGAGGGCGCGGAACAGGCGGCGGAAGGGCCGGGAGGCGCGGACGGCGCCGAGCCATGCGCGGCAGGTGAGCGCGGCGCGGATGAGGGCCCGGAGGTTCGGGAGGCGGAGGAAGATCTCGCGGAGGTCGTCTTCGCTGAGGGACGATATGGTGGTGGTGGCGGCGGCGGCGGCAGTGACCGTGGTTGTGGTTGTTGTTGTGGTGGTGGTGCTGGTGGTTGTGATGGTAGGGGTGCCATCGGCGGAGGTGGAGGTGGAGGTGGTTTTGGTTGTGGTGGTGGTGCTTCCGTTGGCGGCGGTGGTGGTGCTAGTGGTGGTGGTGGACGGGGTCGACGGGGCTTTCGCCGCCGCCGCCGGCAGCAGTTGACTCCCCATTGCTCGGGACTCGGGAGGGGAAAGAGTCGACGGAGTGAGTGACGGAGATTCTGGATCCTGTCTGTTTTTTTTTTTTGAGAAATCGGATCCTGTCTGGTGGGCTAACTTTGTTGCGCATCATGGCCCAAGTCCATGATTCGTGCTTTGAGCCCATGTAGGCAAATAGACCCAAGTTTCCGTTCAGTTTGCAGGGTTTGTATGGTGATTCGGTTTGTACAGTAAACTGTTTTTAATAGGCGAAAATTAGTTTGTAGCCACAATACGAATCTATATTTTCAAAAAAATCAAATCAAGTCTAAATTTGAAACATAACTTGAAAAATAAAATAAAGACAAATTCAGTATCATGGGAATATTGTTATATTTAGAGTCCAATTTACGTTAGATATAGTCACATGAGTTAGCTCCACGCTAAAATTTCTCGCCTTGGTTTTTGCATTTTTCTTCGTTGAATCATTAGGAGTTACAGATAGATTTTTGTCCGAACACTACAAGATGAACAGGGACTTCAAGGCCACTTACACAAAATCATGTATCAAATGTTGGTGTTACTACAAAGCCTAAATAAACGCTTTCAATGCTTTTAACTTGAAGAGCTTATTGAAACACTATCTGCCTTGCTAAATTGTTTTAGAATAAGAATAATCTTTTTTTTTCCTTTGGTTATCAACTTCTAAAGTTGATGTCTCGCAAAAAAAACTTCTAAAGTTGGTGCTTATTGTGCTAGTTTTATGACTTCTCTCAATCAATACCCGGTATTACAAACTTTCTATATAAAAAAATTATATCATGGGTTTGCTGCCTATTTTTTTATAGTGGCCGACACCGGTGCTTATATTTTCTAGCTTCGTCCTGAGAACAACATACACATTTTTTAAGCATTTTCATTTGCAAGGAAGAGCCCAACAAATGGAAGCTGAAATTTGAGCTAAATTTAGACAAATGGGTTTTAAGTTTATTTTTTAACTTCCGCTTGTCTTTGAAGCATTCGACATTATTATTGGTAGCGTGATAGTAGAACTATTATCCGTCTTGGCCTTTCAATTGCATGGCCCGAACTTTTAGGTTCTTTTCCTAGATGAAACGGAATACCTATTTATAATTAATTCCTAATTATACAAAAGCATTCCAGATAGACTGAGCAAAAAAAAAGGGTTTCATTTGGATTCCCCTGCTTTGAAAATCGCACATTAATTTCCTTCATATGAACAGAAAAATAGGATGACTCAAAGAAGTTCTCTACCAGAAACTTGTACCGCGCACATTACTTAGCACAACTAGGAAAATAAGATAAGATACGCAGACCAACCCAATCAATGCATCCGAGTGGGCTGTTGGACCTGGGCTGTACATGGTAAGTTGATAACAGCCCACAATAACAGCAGCAGCATGAGAGGTAATCGCGCAGCTCGCGGCGGGTTTTATGATTAGTACCATACCGCTTAGCTGCTAAGGATGGGTTGCAGGGGAGATATACAAGAAGGAATGCAGCCGCACTGTCAAAGAGCACGGAGCTGCGTGGTGAGCACAAAGCGAACTATTCTTTCGCCTTTTACTAAAGAATACCGTGTGCGCGCCACAAATAGCAGCATACGCTAATTTTTTTAGGGTGCCCTCCTTCATTAGAAAGGGCCCCAACAAAACAAAACTTAAATTTGAACTAGAAGTTTGCTTCACGTTATCTTGTTATTTGGAATCTTCCAAAAAGATTGACAGTAGTGCTCATATTGTGTTAATATAAAACCAATTAACCCATCCAGAGCAAAAAATAAAATAAAATTGGCACTTCAGTATTTCAAACAAAATTTAAAAAGAAGCAAATGACAATCAGGAGGGGAGGTCTTCTAGAGGGTGCTTGGATCCAAGGACTATTTTTAGTCTGACTAAAAATAGTCTCTTCTAGAGGCTAAAGTTCCAAGCACTAAAGATTAAAAAAAAATAGTCATAGAAAACCTACTAAAATATGTATTAGCCCTCTCTCTCCTCATTTAATGCCTCTCCTTTAACACATGCGAGTTCTGGATTGAAGGGTTTGGAGGATAATAAATGCTCAATAACTTGATTTTAGTCTCTTTAGTATTTGGATCCAAGCATGGGTGAGGCTAACAAGTTTTAGTCCCACTACTTTTAGTCATGGGACTAAAACGTATCCAAGCACCCTCTTAGCATCAAAGTTAGCTAAACTTAGCCAGCAAAGCAAATTGGGAGCTTTCTCAAGCTCTACAGCCTACATCTCGAAATACAGCGAAGCAGGGTGCAGCACCAATATGCAACTAGCACAAATCCTGTACACATCAAAACTACTGATTATGCTGCCTCTACACACCAAAAATGGCTACAGACTAGAAGACAGATTTCATCATGCTATGAACCAGAAAGACATATCATAACGATGTTAAGTACGACAAGTTCAGACATTTCGACAATCAGGACAGGATTCACCGGGTAACTACCAGAGTTCATCTAGAATCAACTTTAGATATTACAGCACCCAAAATTATGTAGCACCAACCTTGTATACTGCCTTAACACACCAGGAATTCCAATACCACACTAAGCACTAAGCATTGTCTTGTTCACTGGAAAGAACTATGCACTCTGCCATTCGGTTGAACAATACAAGCTTCAGAACTCCAACTAGAAGACACATCATAACACTGCTACAAACTAGAGGGCATATCATAAAAGAAGTCTTCGACTTCAACAATCAGGACGGGCTGATGGTAAGATTTTTCATTTCGTCAACGACATCCTCACCTATCTCTTCCTCAAGAGCTTTCAACGACTTCTGAAATCCACTGAAGGCTGCATAGGCGTTCTTGGGCGAGCCACCGAGGCCCGCCATTTCCTGGCACATCCCTGTGATGCTAACGTTCAGTCTTTTTATGGCGGACTTCATTTCAGACGGGTCTTGTGCATACACGGAGGCCCCAAGCTCATTAACCTGGTCAGCAACGTCCCTGCAGTGGCTCAGCAAATTCTCCATGGACTCCACCTTGTCCTCAGCAGCACCCCTTTGGTTGCCAGAGCTCTTGAGCAAACTTGTGATGAAACGGATTGTTTCTTTCACCGCATCAAGCGAATCTGCTGTAACAGCAATAATCAACTTGGAGATGGCTATCTCCTCCGCAGTGAAGCCTTCATCTTCCTCAAGATCAGAGAACGATTCATCCTTATCTGAAAAGCTCATGGCGACATCTCCATTGGAAGATTTTCCAGCTTTGGTATCATCAGAATCACCAACTGGGAGTTCTTTCATCTCACGCAGGATATCCTTCAGACATACACATATCTGCGTCATAGCTCGCCCTATGGCGATACAGTTGGTTGCAGGCACCTTCTTAAGAGCAAGACAAGCTTCCCATACAGTTCCTGTCACTGGAGGTATGATTGTTTTCCGGTCAGGACTGCCAGATTCTGCATGTCACAAACAAGCGTATTTAGCCCTGATTCTGACCACATAAAACATGAAGAAAATAATGTGGATTAAAAGCATGGTCCAAATCTTCAGTAGCCCTAAGCAGAACCAAAATCATGCACAATATATCAGAACTGTATGAACACACTAGCAACCTTCCCTTTTTTGTTTAAGGCGACAACTGATGCATTGCTATTCCACATGTCGTTTACTAATTATTACAGTATCACTTGCCCATTCATGAACTAGAATCACAACAAAACAGGCAATCAATACCACCAGATATGTAAATTACTAGTTTCCACTTTAGCTATATGAAGATTAGATCAGCAAGTTTAGTCATGTTAGTTAGCCATCACCCAAGCTGCTTCACCTTCTATAGATAAATGGCAGCATCTAGAGAAAAGCTGCATCAGGGTGTTGGATATCACATACCATAGGCAGAAACGGCTAGCTTGAACAACGAGAAGCTGGCATCCACCACGCCCTTTGCAGAACTAGTGATATACTTGTGAAGCGTAGGACCGGCACCAACCGTGCTTCCATGGCAAGCCAAAAGGAAACCCTGCAGGACGTTGAAATACGCAGCAATGTTCTCCTTGAGCGTCTCCACACCAGGCAAGTCTCCGCTCCAGACCATCCCAGCTACAACGAGAACAAGCATATATAACAACAATAAGTGAACACAACCAGAGATACATCACCGACAAGAAAACAGAATCACACTATAAGGACAGCATGAATTGCACCAGTGAGCACTAGACAGAAGCAAAATACTATAAATAACTTTACTCTGCTGCATACAGCGGCCAAAGCATATGTACTGCAGCTAATTGGCTTCTTGAGCAAGTACAAACTACTAAATTCAGATAAAACAACTAAAAATTTCCCAATTTGTGATCCTATTGGGCGTGCCAAGCAACTGAAACGAATCAACGATCACCCAGAGAGACCCTAACAGCTCTGACTGCACGCGATGACTGTCACCCCAGCGCACAAAATTAGTCTAGGGAATTCAGCCCGGTTTCAGACTCACCGACGGTGGCCTGCCTGGACACCACATCGCCGAGCGCGACGACCTCCGACCACTCCGTCCGCTCCAGTCCCCCGGCAGCCGCCTCCGACATCATCTGCGAGAGCGGGAGCGCAAGTCAAACGAGGGAGCTCCGAGCAGGATTAGGGCCGGGCGGTGAACCGGGGATTCACCGGGTACCTACCTGGAGGGTGTCCGTGATGGTCTGGAGGTGCGGCTGCAGGAAGAGGGACAGCTCGCCGCCTCCTGCCGCGGCCTTTTTGCCTCCTTTCTTCGACATGGCAGCGGGCGGAGGATGTGGCGGCGGCGGCGCGGCGCCTGGGTTGGGAGGACGGCGAGGAGGAGGAGGAGGAGGCTCAGGAGAGGGGCGGCGGTCGGAGGCCCAGGGTTTATTCTGTGAAGGCTTTGGGCCGCCTGACGTCAGTCGTTTCGATGCGCTTTAAGATTCGTGCTTCCTTCTTGCCAATATCGATTTTCTTTTAGAGGTAATAATATATTGCCAGTAGTGCTTAAACTTGCCATCAATATTTATTTTAGTGCCTGAACTTAAAAAATACGTCGAACTGCTTTTAGAACTTGGGACAAATGTGTAAATACGTTGATAACCTCATCCATAGACGTATAATGCGCTCACATGGCACTATATTTCTAATCAGCATGCACACGTGACATGAAACCCACTTATAACAGATGGTTTACTTTATAAAAGTCTCTACGTCCAGTGGGCCCATCTGTCAGCACAAAGAAAAAAGGATAAATTTTATGGCCTATCGGATTTGAACTCGTGACGTTATGCTTGCAATCAGGCTGGCGATTTGGTTTCTCATATCCACCGACGATAACGACAAGACCTCCTATTTACCGCATTCTGCGGCAATCACACGCCTCTTCGCACAGAGTGTGCGCAACTAGGCCGGAACATTGGAGTAAAACTCTTAGTGATTGGTTGGGCGCAAAAGTTGATAGAAATTATAGCCTATCGGATTTGACCTCGCGGCGTTATGCTTGCAATCAGACTGGTGATTGGGTTTCTCATATCCACCGGCGATAATGACGGGACCTCCTACTTACCGCATTCTGCAGCAAACAGACGCCTCTTCGCACAGAGTACGCGCAACTGGGCCAGCCCATTGAAGTAAAACTCTTAGTGATTGGTTGGGCGCAAAAGATCCGAAATAGAAAGAATGTGCAACTTGAAATTCGATCTCCAGACCTTTTGTTGTGGTCGGTACCGCGCTAGCCAGCTGAACAGTCGAACTGTATACACGAATGTGAAATTGAGTAGCATCAAGTCTAAAGAACCAACTGCAGCAGCGTAAATGACCACTACTCAATGTTTTAAAAAAAAACACAAACAATTTATTAATTCCAATTTCTTTTCAAAATGCGAACAATCTTTTGAAAACACGAACAATCTTTGAAAACTTGGAACACCTTTTTTGAATTATGAAGATATAATGAAAAATCAGAACAAAAGCTTTAAATTACGAACAATTAAAACACGATCAAAATTTCAAACTCCGAACTTCTTTGAAAACAAGAACAAATTTAGAAATTCTGAACAGCTTTTGGAAACACAATTTTTTTAAACTCTAAACATTTTACAAACATGATTTTTTTTTGAAATTCTGAACATATTTTTGAATGTGTCAACAATTTTGGAAAACATGAAAAAAAATTGAAACACCATTTTTTATTCAAAACACAAACAAATTTACAAATCCCGAGCAAATTTTAGAAAAACGAATAAATTGAAACACTAAAATTTGTTGAAAACACGAACAATTTTCATTAACATCAACAAAATTTTAAAACTTCAAACATTTTTTGAAAACATGAACAAATTCCGGAATTCAGAACTCTTTTGGAAGTTGTGAACAAAATTTGTAATGTGATATTTTGCGGAACTTTTGAACATTTTCGGAATTACAAATATTTGATAAAGGAACATTTTTTAAAATTGTGGAAAAAATTTGAAACTATGAACATTTTTTAAATCTGATTTTTTAAACAAGAATATTTCTTGATATTCTTATTAATATTTGAATTTTTTGAAAAAATATGAAAATAAAATCGTGCTTGAAAAAAAGGAAAAATAATAAATGAAAAAGGAAAAGAACAGAAAAAGAAAAAAAAGGAAGAGAAAAGGACACAGAAAAAAAACCAAAAAGGCAGTAGAAGAAAATAAACAGAAAAACTCGGTTCTGGGAACCATCTAGAAGGTTCCTAAACCGGTTGGGTCCTCACAGTCTCTATGGCCGGCCCAGATCCTCCGGTCCTGTCGTCGGCCTGTGCGTTGCGTCGATATTTCGACGCAACAAGCGGCGAATAAGAAATACCGATAATGATGCCTATGTTGCAATCAGTTCTACCCATTTTGCTCATGTTAGCTTATTAAAATAAATTGCAAAAAGTTTGTCAACTATAATCACAGTAATAAAAATAAAATTAAAATACTTGTGTGTTAAGCATAAATAACATTATATATATATATATATATATATATATATATATATATATATATATATATATAACTATTTATCACCCAGGCTGCAGAATAAATTATTCTTCACACGAGGTAACCTTACGATCGCTTCATAAATAAATTACATTTCGAATACAAATAGTTACATTTATATTGATTCACTACATAAAATTAGGTTTAAGAAAACAAAAATATATATTATAAGACCAGAAAAATCACATTTTATGTATGTTTTACTATATGTTTTTACATTCGTAATTTTACGTAAAATAAAATATATTTTTACGGCGAGTATTATTTTCTTCTATTCTCTCTTTACGTATAAAATACGACAAAATTTACAGAATGTAAAAATACGGTGCATTGATGTCAAAATAGAGAGGGGGTTCAGAATAATTATTCCTCACACAGGGTGACGAATAGTGCGACTTCACATGATTTTTAAAAATATTCACATTTTTATTAAAATTCTCTGGTGATAACTTTGACTCAAGACACATATTAATAATTTCTAAATAACTGAAAGATCATCAGATGTAAATATTTATAAAAAATATTTTCTAATTGTGCATAGTTATGAATATTTTTTAGTTATACTAAAAATTCTTAAACAGCAAATTTATGAATTGTAAAAAGTTCATATAAATATACAAATGTTTCTATAATTAAATTAATAATTATGAATTGTAATTTAGCAAATATTTATGATATTCTAAACTATACTTACATTTTATAACCAGAAATAAAATTTAATTTATATGATTTTTTCAAAAATAATACATCATTACTATTTCAAATTACCTGAATGTTTTTCTAAACAATTTATGTTTTGTATGTATAATATTTGTAAGACGTGAATATTTGAACTATTTGTTTATTACTATCATTATAATTTACTTAAATTTTACAAATTTTAAAAAGAAATAAAAGAAAGCTAACATGGGTCGCACTGACTACAGCCTATTTAAACCACACGGGTCTGTTTCTGTATAACAGATAGGACATTTACAGTTTCTCAAAAAATAAAAGATAGGACATTTACACTTACGTTAGGTTAAATCATATGTGGCAGAGTGGCTAGCACATTCTGTTTGCAATCGGCAAGAGGGTAGTTCGAATCATAGGCACTATACTTTTTAAGTGGGATTTTTCCTTTGTGCTGACATGTGGGGCCCGTTAGTCATAGAGACATGCGCATGCTAATCAAAATACGGTGCCACATCAGCGCATTCTACGTCTACAGATAGAATTACCATCGTATTTGCAGACTTATGCCAAGTTTTAAAACCAGTTAGATGTTTTTTCAAGTTCAGGGTCCAAAGTGAACATCGGTGACAAATCTAAGCACCACAAATGATATTACCTCTTTCTTTTAACTTTTATAATATAAAAGGGCACTAAAATCATCATAGACCTGATAATGATCAAGGAAAACAACCAATGAATTGGAAAGATAACTGGATGCAGAATGACCAGTAAAATGTGAAATTATAATGAAAATCACATTAGTCTTCATCCTTCGATTGATTGTCGTTCATCGGAGATAGTAATGAAAAGGTGAAGGAAATATGCCCTAGAGGCAATAATAAAGTTATTATTTATTTCCTTATATCATGATAAATGTTTATTATTCATGCTAGAATTGTATTAACCGGAAACATAATACATATGTGAATACATAGACAAACAGAGTGTCACTAGTATGCCTCTACTTGACTAGCTCGTTGATCAAAGATGGTTATGTTTCCTAACCATAGACATGAGTTGTCATTTGATTAACGAGCTAGTCAAGTAGAGGCATACTATTGGTGGTGCTTAGCACTTGATGTGATTGACTTGACCCATTTCATTAGCTTAGCACTTGATCGTTTAGTTTGTTGCTATTGCTTTCTTCATGACTTATACATGTTCTTATGACTATGAGATTATGCAACTCCCGTTTACCGGAGAAACACTTTGTGTGCTACCAAACGTCACAATGTAACTGGGTGATTATAAAGGTGCTCTACAGGTGTCTCCGAAGGTACTTGTTGGGTTGGCGTATTTCGAGATTAGGATTTGTCACTCCGATTGTCAGAGAGGTATCTTTGGGCCCTCTCGGTAATGCACATCACATAAGCCTTGCAAGCATTGCAACTAATAAGTTAGTTGCGGGATGATGTATTACGGAACGAGTAAAGAGACTTGCCGGTAACGAGATTGAACTAGGTATTGAGATACCGATGATCAAATCTCGGGCAAGTAACATACCGATGACAAAGGGAACAACATATGTTGTTATGCGGTCTGACCGATAGATCTTCGTAGAATATGTGGGAGCCAATATGAGCATCCAGGTTCCGCTATTGGTTATTGACCGGAGACGTGTCTCGGTCATGTCTACATTATTCTTGAACCCGTAGGGTCCGCACGCTTAACGTTACAATGACAGTTTCGTTATGAGTTTATATATTTTGATGCACCGAAGGTTGTTCAGAGTCTCGGATATGATCACGGACATGACGAGGAGTCTCGAAATGGTCGAGACATAAAGATCGATATATTGGACGACTATATTCGGACACCGGAAGTGTTTCGGGTGATTTCGGAGAAAGTCGGAGTGCCGGAAGGGTTACCGGAACCCACGGGGAAGTATTGGGCCTTAGTGGGCCTGAGGGGAGAGAGAGGGCAGCAGCCCAGGAGGTGGCGCGCCCCCTCCCATGGGGAGTTCGAATTGGACTAGGGGAGGGGGGTGCGGCCCCTCTTTCCCTCTCCCTCTCCCTCTCTTTCCTTCCCCCTTCCCTCTTCCTAGTTGG